TCTTTGAAAACTTTGATGCTGTAAAAGAATCTATAGTTATATTTTATATATGACACACTTTAAGGATTCAAACACTTTTATAACATTCTCTTCTAGATAATGCATTAGATATTTTTCAAAACAATTTTCTTTCTCTCATTATTCTGGATGCTTGGAACTGTGACAAGGCTTCACTGAGCCTGCATTTTTGTTTGTTGGTGGCAAGTTTCTCTATTGGCCAGTGTTAGTCAACATGCCTGATACATGGTTTTCCTTGTTGGCTGTTCAGATTTTTGTGCAGATCTAATTCTCTTCTCAAATCATCCCGTGGAGAGCAGGTTGATGACACCGATCTCAGATCACTTCTGGTCTGGTAGAAGACTTTCACATAGAACACCTCTGGTAGAATGTGGGTCATCTTTTTGCTGTCCCCTGTATCTGTTTCTGTTCTAATCTGATTTGACAGAATACTGAAAAAGCTGAAACTGCCTCTAGAAATTATTTGTTTTTCACTCTGCTTCACTTGACCTACAAATTCCAGAATCTATTATGGTACAATAACATTTCTTACAAACAAATTTTTTATAATTTTCAATCTCTGCCAGAATATAGCATTTGGTGATATGGATCAGTATTCTGACTACCCTTTACTTTATATTTTGAGGTAAGAAGCACAAATGCTACACAAAATGTAAAAGTTCTTTTATCTCTTGCCATTTTAAAGAGAGAAGATTTAAACTAGATATACATAGGATAATTCCAATTGAAGTTGACTTGTTTTTACTTTCCCTTAATTATATGCATAATTCAATTCCAGATATATTAATTGAAACTTTCAAGGGAAGAGCAGAAAAGTATATTTTTAATTCCTCCTCTCAAAGATATTGATTCTAACTCTTTATAGTAGGCCGGGCACGGTGGCTCAAGCCTGTAATCCCAGCACTTTGGGAGACCGAGGTGGGTGGATCACGAGGTCAAGAGATCGAGACTATCCTGGTCAACATGGTGAAACCCCGTCTCTACTAAAAATACAAAAAATTAACTGGGCATGGTGGCGCATGCCTGTTAATCCCAGCTACTCAGGAGGCTGAGGCAGGAGAATTGCCTGAACCCAGGAGGAGGAGGTTGCGGTGAGCAGAGATCACGCCATTGCACTCCAGCCTGGGTAACAAGAGTGAAATTCCATCTCAAAAAAAAAAAAAAGAACTATATAAAAAATGAGAGCTATCTCATTTTTTAATTGGTATAAGAACCTTATCCTCTAAGTCCCAGTGAAGAAATTAGTACCGTATATTCTTTTTTTCTATATGATTTTGTTTTATGAGAAGAATCCAGAAAATCACAACCTTTAGAAGTCAAAGGTCAATTTTCTCCATTTGGCTCCACTTTTGTTTGTTAGAGTTTCCTAACTACATTTTGGTGCTATATTGTCTCACATCAGATATAACTGTGAGCTTCTGTCCTTCTTCGTTTTGCTTCATACATAGTTTTAGCCAAAGTTTAGAATGCTATATTGGGGGATTCCAGTTGTATGACATTTTACCCTAGGATTTCTGAAAATTATTTTAATGGCACGTAGAAGTATGGAATAGTTGTTTAGAAAATTTGCTTGGAATAACAAAGATTTAGGTATGAAAATTAATGTATGTCCTTTTAGATATTATTTCACATTCTCCACAATTCTACATTTATATGAGCCTAAGTATTTTTTGAATTAGTATGATAATCATCTGTACACATAATTTTCACACAAGGGGATGCCTCTGGCTTTACTGTTAAAGACATTACAAGGAATAATTTCAAATTCATTCTTATCTTATTTCTGATTACAGAGTTTAAAATATTGGCTGTATTGCAAAGTACTGGATCCTCCAACCTACACCTGGAGATGTCCCACTTTATATTTTGAGGTAATAAGCACAAATGTTAACCAAAATGCAAACTTTCTTTAATTTCCTGCCAAAGTTTAGATTCTATTTTTGCCAAAGCAGAAGAAAAGCACATTATACAGAATATGCCTCTCTGGTTGTCATTTCTCCTGCCAGCTTTACTTTAGCACCATCGAGCTGCGACAGCAGATGGACTCCCCAAGTTAGCACTTGGAATGGAAAGGTGTTTAGAGGACCATGGTGGTAAGTGCAATTTCTTAATGAGAAATTATGAAGAAGGAAAAAAGGAAAGTAACCTATTAAATTATGCAACTTAACAGTAAATTTCAACCATTCAGCAGGTATTTATAATGCGTTTTTCAGATCCTGGGTTTGGGATAAAAAGACTTTGATAAGCTTGCTTCCCAAATCCAACAGTCGATTCTCAGACCTCATCCTACTTGTCAGCATTTACATATTATTCTTTTTGAAAGAAAATTTCTTCACATTTACATGGACTACACATGAAGATTATTTTCTTCCTACCTTCCTGGTTGCTACTCTTCGGTATCCTTTCTAGAACTTTCTTTTCCTCATCAGTTGTAAATTTTGGAATTCCTCAGAGCTCAATCTTCACATCTCTTTGCTTTCCAAAATAACCTCATTTAGATCCATGGCTTTAAGGCCATTAACTCCTTTATGCCAGAGGTTGCAATTTTTTTGAATTTTTGCTTGAGTGAAAAATCAGATCTTGGTGAAGACCTTGAACAGTAGGATATAAATAACTCCCACATGCTTAGTGTTCCAATAACGGAACGCTAGGAATAATGATTAGTATGTTGATGGGTCTAAGACTTTTATATTTCCTTCAAACTCCTTATATGAACTATAGATCTGAAATTTTAAAAACAGTTAAAAAGGTTCACTTGAAAGTCTGTACAGTATTTCAAACGTATGAGTTCACATGTTCTACTTTCTATAATAAATAGCAATAAATAGCACCATCATTTCCCTTCCACCAATCCTGTGGGATTTACCCTCCTGTAATAAACAACTAAAAACTTGATAAATTATGTGAGGCAGTTGTTTTTAGACACTGAATTGAGACAAAATAGTGCTATGTGGAAGCTATCATCAAAAATGGCCGGCCATGATCCTTTCCTTCCTGTACTCACACCCGATGTGTTTACCTCTCAAACTGAATAGTACTGACCTACACAGCCAATGTAGTTTTCTTATAATTACTGCATGCGACTTCCAAGGCTATGTCATTAAAAATTGCTATTTCTACCTTTTTCCCTTTTGAAAATCTTTAATGGAAGAAGCCAGATAAAAGAAATGAAGATAGCCTGTGGAGAGATCCATGTGATGAGGATACAAAATCTCTTCCTAATAGTCAAACGAGTGATCCAAGTTTAAATCAGATACTCCAACCGCAGTTGAGCTACCAGATAAGCTCAACTTAAATCAATATATCTACTATCATCTATTAGAAACCTTGAGCTAAAAACCACCCAGAAAAGCTATTACAGGATTCCTGACCCACCCAGAAATATGCATAATAATAAATTTATATTGTTATAAACGGTTATATTTTAAGGTAACAAAGTACTTAGCAATACATAACGAATACAAATCTATATATACATATTTACGTAAGCATCTGTGTTCTTGCAACTTATTGATTAGTTCTCTCCCATTTTTCAAGTATCTAATATAGTAAACAGCAAAATTTCCACACGAGACAGTATGTACTGCATATATTGCTACCGTGGCTCAACCCGTCTTCTGATTATTTTACAGGTTATTTCCGAACTTTTGAGAACATGGTTCAGCTCATTTGGCCTCTACTTTTGCAATTAGAATTTGTCTTCGGAATTTTGTAGTTTATAACTTTCTGAGTAAGAGAAATTGCTAAGATAATAAGTGAATTTTAGTCTTGTTGCCTCAAAAACTGGTAAAAGTAAAACCTGTTCCTTTTTGTACTTGAGAGCTTAAATTTCTGAAACTATGAGCGAAGAAAAGGGAGCAGAGCATGAGGAATCTAAGCGTTCATATTTTCCTTTTTTTTTTGAACTGAATTTGCATTTAGCATCTCCAGAAATAAAATTATGAGAAATTCAAGTGGCTATGCTGCATGTGGCAATGTTGAAGAAACAGAAGTATTTAGCCTACAGATAAGAAGACAGGGAAGAGAGGGGAAGTACGACAATTATCTCCAAACAGCTCTAGAGAGAATATTTGCTAGCAAAGTAGATTTTTTGCCTGTTTTACTACAAAACACAAAACAAGAGTCCATCTTTAATAGTGTAAAGAAGCTACCCTCTACTTAAATATAAAACTGTATGATAGAGTGCATCATTTATGGAATGATCAGCCTACTAAAGTCACGAGATCTTCATCCCTGTTGTAGAACGGATGAATGGACTTAGAACAGGATTTGGACCAAATTCTCTGTATTTCCTCTCTAATCCTTAGATTCATGCTATGTTCTTTCTAATATTTAGCTGTTGATTGGGACAATGGTAAATTTTAAAAACACGCTTACTCTATTATTCTTAACACAATTTGCATTAAAGGCCATGGAATACTTAGATTATTTTTTCCTGTGTAAATTGAGTCAAGGCAAATAAAATAATATTTAATATTAATTATACTTTTTAAATTTTATTTTTCTTTTATATTCTGGAAAAGGTAAAACTGTCAGACTCTTAGTAGGCTAGTTCTTAAGAGTTTACATTCACCATTTACATAAAAAATATACTTACCAGTGGTCAACACAGGTACCAAAATATCAGAAAAGAAACAGTAAGTCACTGTTAAGTTCATCAGTACCTATCTCAAAATCAGATGTGTATATATTTATTTATTTATCGACTGGAAAATGTTCTGTTAGATGTTGAAGTTACAAATTATACATGTAATCTTTTCTTTATAATCTCACAGTCTAGAAGATACAGACTTCTAAAACAGTAAATTCAGAAACATAATATAGTAAAAAAAAAACAAAAAAATAATAATTTGGTATTTTAGGGGTGAACAATTATTTCCCACCACTTAGCAGAGGGAAGTCAATGATTTACTTTTTTTTTTTTTTTTTTTTTTTGCAGCCTCATTTAGTCTATACTTGGACAAAAGAAAAAAAAGTCATACTTGATTGGTGAGATTAGCATGAAGCACTGGGGATTGTGCAGCTCTGCCCTTTCTTCTGGAATCCACGCTCTCTACGGAGATTATGTGTTCTTCTCCGCTATCCTGAAGAGGTGCATGGTGATCCGACACAAGCTGCAAAAGATTTCAGTATCAAAAAGTCAACTTACTTGAAGAAAAATGCATAGTGTCCAATAATACCTTTATCTGTTCAGAAAATTACTTTCACTTAAATTAGAATAAAGTTTCATTTGATGACATTAAATTGGTCATTATGATCTCAGTTATTCCACAATCAACAGAAAAGTAAGTTTCTCACTTTTTTCAATTAAGGTTACCTTTGGTGCGATCAAACTGACCATCTTTGTTGCACAGTTCTTAAAGTTTAGACAAATGCATTCTAATTTGCATTATATCTAATTATATCTAATGATATAATTATTCAGTTATAAATTACTTTATTCTCTGGTCTTGCCACTACCAACATAATTAAGGTATAAGAGAGTTCTAGTGGTCACCAATCAAAATGTTTCCCTGCCCATTTGAATATGTAAGTAACATTTTCACTAATTTTAGAAGAAAATTCTCCATTATCTCTTAAATATTTTTTGTGTCTTATTTTCTCTTTTCTGCCTTTCTGGTAATTAAATTATAAGAATGTTAGATGTGTGATATTGCCCTACAGGTTTCAAGAGTCTTTCTCTTTTTTCAATACTTTTCTCTTTAGTGCGAATTTCCATAGATCAGGCCTCAACCTTACTAAACCCTTCTGCTGTGTTTTGTCTGTTACTAAGAACGTTGAATAAAATTTTTCTGTGTGCCTATTACTATTATTATAATCTGGAATTCAGATTATATCCTCTATCAGTACTCATTTTTCTTTTGAAATTTTATATTTGTTTATCCATTTTGTCCATAATGTCACCTAAATTATTTAACATAGCTTTTTATATAAAATAATTATTTTAAAGTCCTACTAATTCTAACATTAGAATCATGTGACAGTGTGCTTTTATCATATTTTCTGTTTCCATGACCACTCCTTTGCATGTTTTGTTATTTGTTTATATACTATGCATTATGGGTAATAAATTTTCAAGATTCAATATATTTTCTTTTAAATAGCTTTGAGTTTTGATCTGACAGGCAGTTCATTTACTGAAAGTTTGCATTTATCTTACCAGACTTTATTTTAGAGTTTTCATGGCTGTGTCGATCTCATTTTTCTCTTTGTCTTAGGGTATACTCTTTATCCCTAATGCATAACTCCGGGCCTTTCTGGCATCTCACTAAACGTTTTTCTTGAAGTTCAGTCTATCTCGGATAGGATGGAGTTCCATGATCTCCCTTGGAATTCTCTATTCAACTTTCAGATTGCCACGAAATGCTCATGATATCCCTCACGCAATGATGTCCTGGATATGTTCAGTTTGGAATTTAGCCAAGGACTGGGTAAACTCCTGTGCAGCTATATGGGGATTATTTGCCTTCTTTTTACCTTGTACCCCGCTTCACAAATTTTAGCCATCCTAGCAGCCTCAGTCTTATTCTCTGTCTTTCCACCCAGGGACATTGTTTTTCTCTGAGCTCCATTTCCCTTCTTTGCTGTTTTAAAAGTTGTCTAGGAGTTATACTCATACTAAATGAGATCTGACCCTGGGCAAAATACTTACTCTATAAAATCCCACTTTCATCATTGCTTTAATTATATATTTCAACATAAAATTTGTAAAATTTCCTATTAGCTTTAAAATAGTTTTGTTTTTTGTTTTAACTGTGAGCACAAGTATCTCCTTTTCTTCATAAATGCTTGCAAATGATTTTGACCCACATCTTTGGATCAGTATGTTTATAACTTGACAAAATGCTAAATGAAAAATTATTCAGTTATAAATTACTTTATTCTCTGGATGATAGAGGATGTTTTAAGGAATTAATCTTTCTTCCAAAATTAGCGTCTTTCTTGGTAAATCTGTATTTTCATAATTTAAAGTAGACATTACGTTAAGAAATAGATATTTAGTCACTGTTGATAACATATTATTTGTATTTAAATCTTAAACTTAAATTGTTCAGTAAGTGCTCAACACAATAACGTAAGCTTCCTTGCTCCAGTGCATGTTCACTTAGCACTTTGCCAGCTGATAATCTCAGACATAAATGTTCAATTTCTTGATTTAAAAGGCTTAAATAAAAGGATGTTAATATTATGAATTACTGACATTAGAAATAAACTTAGCTGTCGTCTAACCTAGCCTCTTTAGTACAACACACATTATGTTACAGTACAGAAACTGAAAATCCCAAAAGTTAAGGGATTTGCCTAAGACCTCACAGGTAAATAACCAAACTGAGATTCAGACGAGTCCTCCTTAACTGACACCACAATCCTTTTCTTTATATTACAAATAATATATAGCATCTATTTTGATGGAAATATGATATGTGGATTAATAATGGCCATCTTCAGAAAAGGCAATTGAATTTCTTATGCTTATCAGATCAGTAAAGGTGTTTTTCAATGTGACTGCAGAATAAAATGCTTAAATTTAAATGAATGTTTTCTATATCATCTTAGTCCATTTGGGCTACTATAAGAATAATAGCATAAAGTAGATAGCCTATAAACAACACTTACATTTCACAGTTTTAGAGGCTGGAAAATTCCCGTTTGAGGTGCTGACAGATTTGGTGTCTGGTAAGAGCCTGCTTTCTCCTAGATTGCACTGTCTTCCTATGTCCTCAGATGGTGAATGAGGTTAACATGTTTCCTCAGCCCTCTTAATAAAGGCGCTAATCCCATTACTAATGGGTCTACTTTTAGCATCTAATCACCTCCCAAAGAGTTCACTTCCTAATGCCATCACCTTGAGAGTGAAGATTTCAACATGTAAATTTTGAGAAAAGAAACACTGATCAGGCTATTGCACGTATTATCTGACTAACGTAAAATTTAGCAAATTTTGCTGTCTAGGAAGCTGAGCATGCTATCGATTGGTAATGACTATGTAGGCAATTGAAACCACTGTGCTTATTTTGATGTCCTACTGCCGTATATTTGAAAAGTTGTAAACTCTGGGTTCAAGTCGATATGTTGTTCACTGGTTGAATTTATCCTAGTTTTTTAACATGTATCTAACATGCTATATAAGCATCTTGAAACAAGAATATACCTTTTAGCATAATGCTATTTCTAACTTTTCTATTTTTTGATATTGAAATATCATTCTCCCCATATTTTATAGAATTTGAAAGGGTAGTTATTTACTTTTGTGTTATAAAAATGCCCAGTTTCCTCTTTGACAGCTAGAGAGCTTGGAAGCCATCACTCTCAACCTACAACAAGAAAAAAGGCTGAAGAAATTCAACATAAGCAATTCTTAGATACATCAAATCATCAAGGTTTGGGCAAACCAATTTTGAAAAACTGCAGATAGGCAAAAAACAGAATTACAAATTACCAAGAGCAGAAGCTCCTAGAGACAGTAACTACAGGCATAACTCATTGTATTGCACTTTACATTATTGTGTGTTGCAGACGTTGTGTTTTTACAAATTAAACTCTTGTGGCTATTCTGCCTGGGTCAAACAAGTCTATTCATGCAATTTTTCCAACATGTGCTCACTTGGTGTCTCTTTGTCACATTTTGGTAACTCTCACAGTATTTAGAACTATTATTATTATTATCATTATCATCACTATTATTAAATCTGTTGTGGTGACCTGGAATCAGTGATTTTTGATGTTAATATTTCAGTTATAATCACCAATATAAGACAAATACTATAACTGATAAATATTTTGTTCTGATTGCTCCACCTATTGGCCATTTCCATCTCTCTGCTTCTCATTGGGCATCCCTAGTCCCTGAGACACAACAATATTAAAATAGGTCAATTCACTTTTATTCAAAAGACAGGAAATAAGAAATGTTAATGAGGATGAGGATGAAAGGGAATCCTCATACATTGCTGGTGGAAATGTCAATTAGTACAACCACTATGGAGAACAGTTTGGAAGGTTCTCAAAAAACGAAAAATAGAGCTACTATGTGACGCAGGAATCCCACTGCTGAGTATATACCCAAAAGAACAGGTATCAGTATATCAAATAGATATCTGGACTCACATGGTTATTGCAGCACTATTCACAATAGTGAAGATTTGGAAGCAACCTATCTGCCCATGAATGAATGAATGTTCATGAACAAGAGAATGTAGAACCTATACCCAATTAAGTTCTATTTGGCTATAAAAAAGAATGAGGTCCTGTTATCTGCAACAACATGAATGGAGCTGGAGATCATTATGTTTAGTGAAATAAGCCAGGCACAGAAAGATAAACTTAGCATGAAACTTATTTATTTGTGGAAACTAAAAATTAAAGCAATTGAACTCATGGAAATAGAGAGTAGAAACAAGGTTACCCCAGGATGAGAAGGGTAGTTGAGGGGAGCCGTGAGAGAAGTGGGGATATTAATGGGTACAGAAATAGTTAGAAAAAAAGAATAAGAACTAGTATCTGATGGCACAACAGGTGACTGTCGTTAGTAACAGTTTAATTATCCATTTAAAAATAACTAAACACGTGTAATCGGATAGTTTTGGCCAAAAGCTAGGCCTCTTGTGGCAGATGGCTAGCCAAGTTGGAAATGCAAAGGAAAAGTTATTGAAGGAAATTAAAAGTGAGATTCCAGTGGGCACACGAATGACAAGAAAGCAAACAGTCCTATTGCTGAGGTGGAGAAAAGATTGAGTGGCCTGGATAGAAGGTCAAACCAACCACAGCATTCCTATAAATCAAAGCCTAATCCAGAGAAACGCTCCAACTATCTTTAATTATAAAAGCGTGAGAGAGGTGAGGCATCTGCGGAAGGAAAGTTGGGATCTATCCGAGGGAGGTTCATTAGGTTTAAAGAAAGAAGCTCAGCTAGGTCTAAGTTCTTGTCTCATGGCCAGGAAAAATTAGGGATGTGGACACAAGAGAGTGAGTGGAGTAGAATTTATTAAGCAAAAAGGTAAATTTTCAGCAAAGAGATGGTCCTCAAAGTAGGTTTCTGGTTTCCCCCTTCACAGTTGAATGCCAGGATTTAAGGCACCTGGTGACTCCACCCCATCTTTCCAGGGCGCATGTGGGCCCTTAGACTGAGCTGCTCCAAAATGTTTGTTAATGTACACATAGCAAAGGAAATAAATCTCAAGGAATATAAATCATTCTATTATGAAGACACATGAACACATACATTTAATGTGGCACTGTTCACAACCCAAATGCCCATCAATGATAGACTGAATAAAGAAAATGTGGCACATATATAGCATGGGCTACTATAGAGCCATAAAAAAGGATGAGTTCATGTCCTTTGCAGGGACATGGGTAAAGTTGGAAACCATCATTCTTAGCAAACTGACACAAGAACAGAAAACCAAACACCGCATGTTCTCACTCATAAGTGGATGTTAAACAATGAGAACACATGGACACAGGAAGGGGAACATCACACACTGGGACCTGTCAGGGGCTTGGGAGATAGGGGAAGGATAGCAGGAGGTGGGGGCTAGGGGAAGGACAGCAATAGGAGAAATACCTAATGTAGCTGATGAGGTGATAGACGCAGCAAACCACCATGGCCCACGTGTACCTATGTAACAAACCTGCACATTCTGCACATGTACCCCAGAACTTAAAATATTAAAATAACAAGAAATAAAATGTTTTACTATGGGCAATTTTAGGCACGCCTCCTGTGCAAGTTCCCTTATGTACAAAACGTCTGGTGTAAGCACTTGTCTGGCAGGTGGGAGATTCTCCAGGGACCTTTCCCTTACTGTAGGCCTAAAGCTAGGTAAGTAAGTCCTTTACAGCCATCTCTGTACCATAAAAGTACAAGGTGAAGCTGCAAGTGCTGATGTAGAAGACACAGCAGGTTATCCAGAAGACCTAGCTGACTACTGATAAAGATGGCTATACCAAATAAAAGGTATTACATGTAAAGGAAGTAGCATAATATTGGGAAAAGATGCAATCTAGGACTTTTACAGCTAAGGGAGAGAAGGCTTTACAAATCAGGCTGACTCTCTTGTTAGTGGCTAATGTAGCTGGTGACTTTAAGTTGAAACCAATGACCCTTTGCCATTCCAAAATTCCTAGGATCCTTAAAAATTATGCTAATTTTTTTGCTTGTACTCTATAAATAAATGAAACAATAAAGCATGAATATGAGCATATATGTTTAGCATGGTTAATTGAATGTTTTAAGCTCATCATTGAGACATATTGCTCAGAAAAATATTGCTTTCAAAATATTTCTGCTCATTAACAAAGCACATAATCACTCAAGTGCTCTGATGGAAATGTACGAGAAGATCTATGTTGTTTCTATACCTGCTAACACAACATCTATTTGGTAGCCCATGGATCAAGAAATGACTTTGACTTTCAAGTCTTATTATTTAAGAAATATGTTTGTAAGGCTTTAGCTGTCATAAATAGCAATTCTTCTAATGGTTCTAGGCAAAGTAAACGTAATGCCTTCCGGAAAGGATGCCTCAGTCTAGATGGATTAAGAGCATCCGTGATTCATGAAACAAAGTAGAAATGTCAACAACGTTAAAAGGCGTTTGGAAGAATCTAAATCCAGCCTCCTGGAATGACTCCGATGGCTGCAATTCTTCAGTGGATTAAGGAACTACAGATGCAGTAAAAATAGCAAGAGAACTAGAATAAAAATTGGAGCCTGAAGATATCACTAAATTGCTGAAATCACATAAGAAAATTTTAATGGATGAGCAATTGCTTCTTACAGATGAACAAAGCAAGTGGTTCATTGAGACAGAATCTACTCCTGATGAAGATGCTGTGAAAACTGTTGAAATGGGCCGGCAGTGGTGGCTAACGCCTGTAATCCCAGCACTTTGGGAGGCCGAGGCGGGTGGATCACGAGGTCAACAGATCGAGACCATCCTGGTCAACATGGTGAAACCCCGTCTCTACTAAAAATACAAAAAATTAGCTGGGCATGGTGGCACGTGCCTGTAATCCCAGCTACTCAGGAGGCTGAGGCAGGAGAATTGCCTGAACCCAGGAGGCGGAGGTTGCGGTGAGCTGAGATCGCGCCATTGCACTCCAGCCTGGGTAACAAGAGTGAAACTCCGTCTCAAAAGAAAAAAGAAAATTGTTGAAATGACAAGAAATAATTTAGAATGTTCCATAAACTTAGTTGATAAAGTAGCGGCAGGATTGAAGAAGATCGACTTCCATTTGGAAAGCAGTCCTGCTGTGGGTGAAAGATTACAAACAGTGTTGCACGCCACAGAGAAGTAAAGTAAGAGATACCATCACAGCAAACTTCCTTGTCTCATTTTAAGAAATTTTCACAGCTACCGAAATGTTCAGCGACCACCACTCTGTTCATCAGCAACCATCAACATCAAAACAAAACTATCCACTACCAAAAACAAACTATGATTTGCTGGAGGCTCTGTTGATTCTCAGCATTTTTAGCAATGAAGTATTGTTTAACTAAAGTACATACATTATGTTTTAGACATTGTTATTGCAAACTTAATAGACAGTAGTATAAACATAACTTATATGCACTGGGAAACTGAAAATTTTGTGTGACTACGTTTTTGAAATATTTCTTTTATTGTGGTGGACTCGATCTCAACCCACAATATCTCTGTGATACATCTCTGCTAGCAAAACTAGTAGAAATATTTAGAGGTCATTGAAAAATTGCTGGAGGTGAGT